GGGAGTCTCTGGTATCATACTGAGATAGAAAATACAAGGCTCCCAAATGCCAAAAGAGACAGAGACATGGGAATGAGGGGTAAAGATATTTACAGAAAACATCACTGTTTTAATTGCCAAGTAACAAAAAAAAGTTTGTCAGAAATACCCCAAGGTAAAACTCATCGAGCTCCTCCCAACTGGAAACCATGTGTTGAAAATTGGTCAGAATCATGCAAAAACAAACCAAGCATAGTGCAAGAACAAAAAAATCTTAGAAAGAATTTCCATTTATACCAAACTACTAAGGACTATTGGGCGCATACACAGTAGAAATGGGTAATATGCCGACTGATACACCTCTGCTTTGCAAGCACCAAATTTAATTTGAATCTTTTTATTTCAGAAAGTGGTTGAATTTATGCAACCAGAAACTAATCAGGTCTGTGTACATCTCAAAGCATGTATGTACCAAGTTTCAATGAAATCTAAGGTCAGTTTTGAGATACCAGTAGAACAGACACACACAATGACTTCCACACTGGAGTAAAAAAACTCTTTGTTTATGTTATATGCAGTAATCCTAAGATGCTTAAACTTACCTAGAATAGAACTATTGAGGGCAGCACATATTGGTTCTCTCTGAACTTGATCTAATTGAAAACCTACTGGACTGGACCAAGGATCAGAATAGGCTAATAGACTAAATGCATCCTGTAAGATAAACAAAGATAACAGCTTTACTCTGCATGCATGGTAGAAAACGATCAAAACATGATACTGTGACAGGCAAATGATGATGGTTGCTGTCCTTTATTGTACACATTGAAACATGTTTACTTAATTTTAAGATTAAATACTACACATTTCTACACAGGTAAGTTAAACCCAAATAGATGCTTCTATTGTGTGCTTAGCAAACAAAAAAACAAAACAAGAAGTCGAAAATATCACTTTCTATCAAAAATGACCAAAATATTCACCAAAATTAGAGAATTGAAGATATCATCACGAAATGAACAAATCTGAGAAAGGTCTACATGTAGTATCTATATGTGTAATATCAAAGCAATTGAACTTTTGGTTTTTAACAAGAAGTTGAAAATATCACTTTTTACCAAAAATTACAAAAATATTCACCAAAATTAGAGAATTGAAGACATCATCACAAAATGAACAAATCTGAGAGAGGTCCACATGTAGTACCTATATATGTAATATCAAAGCAATCGGACTTGTGGTTTTTAACAAGAAGTCGAAAATATCACTTTTTACCAAAAATTACAAAAAATATTCACCAAAATTAGAGAATTGAAGACATCATCACAAAATGAACAAATCTGAGAAAGGTCCACATGTAGTACCTATATATGTAATATCAAAGCAATTGCACTTGCATTTTTTAACAAGAAGTCGAAAATATCACTTTTTACCAAAAATGACAAAATATTCACCAAAATTAGAGAATTGAAGATATCAACATGAAATGAACAAACCTAAGAGAGGTCTACCCAAGGTACATATACACCAAGTATCAAAGCATTCAGGCTTGTAGTTTTCAAGAAGAAGTCGAAAAAGTAAAACATTGACACGAACGACGACGACGACGGACAATCACTCATATGATAAGCTCCGCTCGACAAAGTCGACAGCGGAGCTAAAAAACTGAATACATATCCATGTAAAATTTGAGAAGAAAAAACAAACAAATTTGAACGTGTACATTCATCCAGTCCAGAGTCTTGATGACTATACACTTGGGAAACTATTCACTGACCTGCAGCATCTTCTTGTTCGATTCATTCTTTCCATGTTTTCTTTTTAATTGAACACTCATTGCCTGTAATTCTCTACCAAATTGCAACATGTGTTTTATGGCTACGGGACTGCCACCACACAACTGTCGTCTACTTGTACTAGGTTCATGTTCTGAAGAGAAAAGCCAGTTTAATTAATGGTTTTTCTCTGCTAGTTATTTTGACCTGCCATTTGACTTTGTGGCACATGAAACTGTAGTAGTTTTGACCTGCACTTGACTTTGTGGCACATGAATCTCTGCTAGTGATTTTCACCTGCCATTTGACTTTGTGACACATGAATTTCTCCTTGTGGTTTTGACGATCCATTTGACTTTGT